ATTTATTCTCTGTTTTGACATATTTTGCCATATATCTCGCTGCTGATACAGTTGCCAGATGTGGGAAAAGGGGCAGATGACCATCTACCAGGTGGTTGTAATTAAACTTCTGTAAACAGCATCCTACAGAGCAAATGGGTGAATGGAGTGCAATAAAATTTTGTGTATGGGCTATACATGAGATGTGCTCATGGAATTTCGAAAAATAAATTTTAGTTCCAAAATGTCCACGAGAGAGCGCCTTTTCGGGGAAACATAAAATTTAACACAATAAATAACCAAAACGGAATACAGAAACAATATTGACAATCCAGAACAAGAATTATGAATAATAAAATGTGAAACCGGGAAAAGCTGTCAGTTGTAGGAGAAGAATGTTGAGATTTGCATGCTTGGGAAGAGGAGGAAGCCGATGTTTAAGTCAATGTTTCCAGTTGTACTAATGACAGTCTCTTTAGTTGAACGTCCATTATTGGTGAGGATGTTTTACGAAAACAAGGAGAATGCTTCTGCTGTAGTTCGTGTATTTCATCGTAAAAAGATCGTACGGCACGGACCAGTGTCTACTAAAGGGTCATGATTAAGAGTTTTAAATAGACAGGTAAATTAGGAGTTCAACCTGGAAGAGGCTGTAAACGTGTCACACCGGTACTTGTTGGTGCTGTCAAGACAACTGTTGATGCACAGTTAAGACATCAGAGTTTGCGGAGCGGTAGTGTGCGTGCAGTTACTCGACAGACAGGCTATTCTTACAGCACCATCCAAAAAATATTCAGAAACATAATACACTACTTCCCATACAAGATCCGCCATATCCAGGAGCTACTTGACAGGGACAAAGCCAAAACGCCTCTCATTTACAGTCAATTTTCACAACAGAATGATTGTTGATTTGTCATGGCCTTGGAATGTTCTGTAGAGCGACGAGGCTCATTTCTACCTCAATGGGACAGTCAACACACAGAATTGTCGCATTTGGGCTACGGAACATCTGCAGATCCACACTAAAATTCCCCTACAGTCTCCAAAGGTCACTGTCTGGGGTGGATTCACAGCAACATTCATCCTTGAGCCATTCTTCTTTGAGGAGATTGGTGAACATGTTCCATTATGGGCCGTTGGTACCATGACATGCTGCAGACGATTGTTGTGCCGCACTACAGCAAAGCCAGGTCATTACACTGACCATTTTTATGCAGGATGTTGCTCCCCTATATATCCATGGGTCCATGAAGGCACTATTGTTCCAACACTTCCCAGAGGAATGTGTTTAGTCGCTTCATGGCCACCATGTTTTCCGGATCTAACTCCGTCCGAGGCGTTGAATGACTTGAAGAACCCCATAATGTTTCATGTGCAAAAGCCTCACAACTAATCAGTTATGTTTTGCTATTGAACAAACTGTCCATCGAACTGAAATTTTGCAGGTGAATGAGGATAGCCACGTGGAGCACCTTTCCCTACATTGTCCTGGGCATGATTAGGAACCACTCCTCTTGTGCAATTTTGTCCTAATCTGTTCTTGTTTCTGCAAACTGAACTGTGTTTGTATCTCCCTTACCTTTAATTAATGGGGTTCGATGACAAAGTGATCAGAAACTAGTCAATAAATGTTAATATTGTTTCTGTATTCCATTTTGGTCATTTATTGTGTTAAATTTCCTGTTTTTCCTGAAAAGCCACTCCTATGGTGGACATTTTGGAACTAAAAATGTTTTTCCGAAATTCCATGAGCTCATCTCGTGTGCAGCCCGTATACAAAGTTTTATTGCATTCCATTCACCCATTTGTGCTGTAGGATGCCATTTATAGAGGAAGTTTAATTATAACCACCTGTTATATTTATATAGACTAAAAAAGTAATAAATTTAAAATCAGTACAATCCTCCAAATCTTGCAATAAAGAAAAAGTTTTAAAAAATACCTTTTTTTTTTTTTTTTTTTTTTTTTTTTTTTTTTTTTTTTTTTTTTTTTTTTTTTTTTTAAGCCAGAAGAAATTCTGTAAGCAATAATTTTAGTTGTATTTCTTTTTAAAATTTTTATTGGTAGATTTTGACGTTATACTAGTTTTAAATTTCATTTCTTTCATGTCTATGTGGAATTAGTTAAGAATTTATTACTTTTTTAGTCTATAATTAATTTTCTGCAGCATTTTGCACGGAAATGATATTGGGATGTTGTAAAAATTTCTGTAATACCATAAATATATTTAAGATATAACAAAATGCGATAGCTGTTTTAAAAAATAATTGATGACCTCAAAATTAATGTTTCTAGATTTGGTGCTCTCCCCCTAAATTCATCTGTTCTCTCAAATTCGAGATCTTTCTATGTTATGTAACGGTACGTGAAAAGGGCAACTAAAACTATTGTTAACCAATCATAGCTTGTCTCTAGAACCACACCTACTTTGGTATAAATATTCTTGGCACAATAACTACGTCGTTATTCTGCCGCGTTCCTTTTCCTAGCTTCCGCCATTGCCAACATGTCTTTTTAAAGCTGTCATAATTTCAAAGCAGAGTCGCGATGGCTGAGTGGTAGGGCGAGATTAAGAGGTTGATACTAAGTTCGGCCAACTGTCATCTTTATTTCCAGATATCCAGGGACACTAGAATAATTCTTCGTAGACAATATGCTCTTTAATGACAACAATTAAAATAATTTCTTGTATACGATTTACACAGGTTAATGGGGGCAACATCATTTTAGACAGACAAGCAGAGCATAGAAGACACATTTTCAATGGTGGAAGCTAAGGAAAGGAATGCCACAGAATAATGACGTAGTTATTGTGCCAAGAGATTTATACCAAAGTAGGTGAGATTTTAGAGACAAGCTACGATTTTTAGTTGCCCTTTTCATGTAATATGTAAGATAAAGCAAAATACGATACCTGTTTTAAAAATAATTGGCAATCTCAAAATTAATTCTAGATTTGGTGCTGTCTGCCTAAATTCATCTGTTCTCCCAAATTAAATAAAAAATAAAGAGGTTATAGTCAATTAAAATTAGAAGTTTGCTTTCATATTTTTTTTATTCTTTCCCTTCAAAAGAAAAGTCGGGAGAGTAGGGGGTCAGAAAAGGAAGAGCAAAGCAAGAGAAAGTTTACTGTATGAGGAAAGACATGAAGTAGCATCAAGGACATAGCCGGTAGGTTTGCCTATGCCCAGTCATTATTCATGACCTTTCTCATACATAAATTATGTAATACTTAAACAACTAATTTACAATTAATTAATGCAATAACAATATAATTTTCTAAATAAACTAACTAATAAATTAAAACAAATATAATTTAAAAAGTCCTTTAGTCCTTTGAAAAAATGTTCAATGTCTTTTTGAATGTTCGATGAAAATTTTGTAAATTCTGTTGACTAAAATAATTCCACCAGGTAAATGTTCAAAATTTTCTTAAAAGTTCACTAAAAGTCTTTCAAAGTAAATGTTTTTCATAAAGTAAATGTTCATTAAAAAGTCTTTCAAATCCTTGTTGATGAAAATATTCCTATTATGAACTGTGAACTTTCATATTTAGTAAAATATAACTTTCATATTTAGTGAAACTCGTATTCAGTGAAATGAACTTTTATATGCAGTGAAATATAATACTCAATTTTACAATTCCTTCCTCAGTGGCACAACAGCCCGGGGTGGGCCCTGGCCTTCTCAAGAATTTTCGAGGTTTCTCTTTCTTTGGCCATAGTCTTTCAGTTATTAATTTTAAAGTGACGAGGTCCCCTTCCAAGCAAACAACCCATCTCAGATTGGATCGGTCCCTAATTCTTGTTCCAGTGGGCTTGGCCAGGAATATTTTCTGCATTGTGCTCTCTATGTTTATTCTAAAGGTGGCCAGCCTATTTAATCCTTTGGATTTTTATGTATTTTACGTCTTCAGGTTCTTTGTAGATATGGTAAAGTTCTAAATTTGAGCGTCTGTGTCAAACACCATCAACTTGTATTCTTCCAAAAATAGCTTTCAGTATCTGCCATTCAAAGATACCAAGGGCATTTTCATCTTTTTGTGTCATTGTCCGGCTTTCTGAAACGTATGTTCGTATAGGTCTGATTAGACATTTATAAATTAATAACTTTGTTTTTCTTTTAATTAAATTTGATTTTAAGTATTTCTTTAATCCGTGAAAGCATCTATTAGCAGCTTTAATTCTCCTCTGTACTTCAGGTGTGATATTGTTATTAATGTTAGTCTCAGAGTCCAGATATATAAAGCTATCAACTTTCACAAATTTATAAATACCCATTTGCAGATGAGTAGCAGAGTCTGTTATCCTTGTGCATTGCATATATTTAGTTTTTCCTGGTTTATAATAAGGTGCATTTTACCTGCCTCTCTTTCCAGGGCCAGAAATGCCCGTTTCAGATCAGGTGTTCGTGTGGCGATATCTGTATCTTTGGCAAATGCAAATATTTGCACAGATTTCTAGAACATGTTTCCTCTAATGTTGATTTTTTGAGTCACAAATAATTTTTTCTAATGCTGTATTGAATAGTAGGCATGCCAGTGCATGCCTAACCACATTTTAAATTTCCATTGCTTCTGAAAAATCACCCTGGATTTTAACTCTCTGCATGGTTTTACTCAGTGTAAGAGCAGTGACTCAATTTTACAATTAATTGCATAAACTCTTCTTATTGTAGATACACATGTGTAAGATAAAAAATATGAAACTAAATCGGCTATAACCTCTTTTATTTATTTATTTATTTTTTTTTTTTTAGATTTAATTTTTGAGAACAGATGAATTTAGGGGGGGTGCACTATGTCTAGAATCCTTAATTTTGAGCTCGCCAATTATTTTTAAAGCAGCTATCGTATTTTGTTATATCTTATATATATATATATATATATATATATATATAATTTATCATTTTACATTAAAGCAAGCAAATTATGCTTAAAAAGTTGAAAAAATTCAAGATATATATATATATCTATATGCAGTTTATGTGTTTATTATTTATTATTTATTTTTTTATAGAAAAAACTGATAGCAACCTTGATAATTTTGCTAAGATTGAAAATCTGATTTCAAGTCAACATATGGAAATATAAAGAAAATTCAGAAACTGAATCAACAAACGAAAAGAGCTCTGATTCAGAAATGGAAGTATCCCAAGGCAGTATCAGTTTAAAAACTGTAGTTTCAAGCCTGGAAAATTGCTCAAAAGGTGCAGTTAATGAATTGAGCCAACCGAACTTTGAAATTATGCTATTAAGTTCTGAGAGTTCTAATTCAGGAACGGAAGTATGCAGTCAAAACAGCGAAAGATCAGTAACTGGAATATCAAACCAAGAGAATTTAGATATTCAATTATTTAACCAAAAGAATTCAGATATGGAAGCACCCACTGAAGACAGTATGAGCTCAAAAATGACATCTTCAAATGAAGAATATTGTTCAAGAAATGTAGTTAATAACTTAAACCAAGAGAATTTAGAAACCGAGTTATCAATTGAAAAGAATTCAAATCCAGAAATGGAAGTACCGTCTCAAAACAGCTTGAGTTTAATAATTGAAGTATCAAGACAAAAGAAATTTGAAATTGAATCATCAAGCCAAAATAATTCTAATTCAAAAATGGAAATATGCTCTCAAGATAGCATAAGCTCAATAATGGAAATATCCTCTCAAGATAGCATAAGCTCAATGCAAGTTTCAAATGAGGAAAATTGCTCAAAGAGTGCAGTTAATGAATTAAACCAAGAGAATTTAGAAATTGGATTATTAAACCAAAAGAATTCAAATCCAGAAATGGAGGTCTCCTCTCAAGACAGCTTGAGTTCAATAACTGGAGTATCAAGCCAGGAGAAATTAGAAATTGAATCAAGCCAAAATAATTCTAATTCAAAGATGGAAATATCCTCTCAAGATAGCATAAGCTCAAAAATGAAAGTTTCAAATGAGGAAAATTCCTTAAAGTGTGTAGTTAATAAATTAAACCAAGGAAATTTGGAAATTGGTTTATCAAGTGAAAAAAATTCAAATTCAGAAATGGAAGTATCCTCTCAAAACAGCTCAAGTTTAATAATTGGAGGATCAAGTCAGGAGAAATTAGAAACTGAATCATCAAGTCAAAGTAATTCTAATTCAAAAATGGAAATATCCTCTCAAGATAGCATAAGCTCAAAAATGGAAATATCCTCTCAAGATAGCATAAGCTCAAAAATGGAAATATCCTCACAAGATAGCATAAGCACGAAAATGGAAGTTTCAAATGAGGAAAATTCCTCAAAGTGTGTAGTTAGTGAATTAAACCAAGGGAATTTGGAAATTCGATTATCAAGCGAAAGAAATTCACATTCAGAAATGGAAGTATCCTCTCAAAACAGCTCGAGTTTAGTAATTGGAGTATCAAGCCAGGAGAAATTAGAAACTGAATCATCAGGCCAAAATAATTCTAATTCAGAAATGGAAGTATCCTCACAAGATAGCATGAGCTCAAAAATGGAAGCTTCAAATGAGGAAAATTGCTCAAAAAATGTAGTTAATGAATTAAACCAAGGGAATTTGGAAACTGAATTATCAAGCCAAAAATATTCAAATTCAGAAATGGAAGTATCCACTCAAGACAGCTCGAGTTTAGTAATTGGAGTATCAAAGCAGGAGAAATTAAAAACGGATTCATTAATCCGAAATAATAATTCTAATTCACAAATGGAAGTTTCCACTCAAGATAGCATGCTCTCAAAAATGTTAGTTTCAGACCATGAAAATAGCTCAACAGACACATTTAATGAATTCTGTAATACAAAAGACAGTTTATCATGTGAAAATTCTGATTTGCAAATCCCTACCATGTCAAGAAAGATAAATAAAAGATCTCATCCTTCATCTGATGACGAGTGTATTTCCAAAAGAAAAAAATGTGGAAAAGAAATTGCTTTAGAAAAGGATGAAACCCTTATAAGAGAAAGAGATCTGTTAAGAAGAGAGGCTACTGTGCTATTAAGAGAAGAAGCTGTTGCGTCTCGTGAACAAGCACTGTTATTGCGAGAGCGTGCCATTTTGGCAAGGGAACAGAATTTGGAAAATGAAGAGAAAAAAAAATAATTTGTCTTTAAAGTGGTATATTGAAAAGTGCATATTATTCAATTGGAAATCACATTTTTTTAACAGTGTGATTTTCCTTTATTTTTTGTGTACAGTTTGTATTTTTGTACATATTTAAATTACTGTGTTGAGAAATAGTACAGTAATCTTTAATTGGTCAAACAATATCAAAATGTAAAATTTTAATTTAATGTTATATTTTCTTAGTCAAGTTTCTGGCTATTTATAATTTTTTCTGTTACCTTCAGTTTTTAATTTATTGAAGTTTGACTGTGCCTGCAAAACCTCCCTAAAAGGGCCATTTACACATGTAGATATTTTGGCCATGTGTGGATGTGATCACTTTACAGAACATTACTCACATTTATATTGAGTACTACAAGTTAATTATGTTTCCAAAAATACTGGCCAGTTTTATAGGTGATTGCTTTAAAAGATTTTATTGTTTATTGAGATTTTTATTGCTATTATCATACAAACCAAACCAAATTATTATGTTAATCGAGGCATTTTCCCCCCAATTAAAAAATATTCATCAAAGAAGTTTCATAACTGAACATTTTCAAAATGTTAAAAAAAAAAAAAATCTCTGTGTATGAAACTATATGTTCACCTGCAGAGTTTCAAATTCTGCTGTATGCTTTTTTAACAGGTGATTAGAACTGTTAATTATATGTATATTTATTGAATAAAACAATTGGCTGCATGAATGCATCTTCTGTATGCTTCTAAAACAAACTCCAGATTTTTTAAAAATAATTACCATATTTATAAATGTGTTAAAAATGATGATCCAAAAGCTACAGAGTATATCATAGTTAAGATTTCTTCCTTGCCAGTTTTCAATCAGCAGATTTCCAAAAATTTTAGAAATGATGATCAAGAGTAAGAAGTATAGTTAGATCTTCCTTGCACAATTTTCACTATTTTATGTTAATTCAGTAATTTATGTACTTTGTTATTATTCATTATATTATGTCAATTTCACAGTACCTCTGTACTAAAATATCTATTATGAAATGCATATAATATGAAAATCACCAGTTCTTAGATTGCTTTTGTTCGTATAATATTAGTGACTTTTTAATGGATTTGTAAGTTTATGAAGTTAATCTCTCTTTTACTTTTGAGAAAGCTTCCAGAATTTCTAAGCTTGATGTGAACTTTTCTTCAATTAAAATTTTTTCATCAGTTATAATATGGAATATTCATAGTACATGTAAGTTAACATATTTTTTTTAAATGATATGTTCTTACTTATAATTTTCACAAAATGTATGTGCATTCATCTGTTGAACTATTGGTGCTGTCTGTGTGTAGAGATTTCATATTCAAAACATAAAATTTATAATGATCCCATTAAAAAATTATATGAATTGAAAATTTTTATTTGGTAAATATCTGCACGTGTTGGGTTAAATAGACAAAAACTCAAATATGAAGGTAAACTTCCCTGCTGCCAAATACTTTTTAAAAATGCCTTAGTATTAAGAAATTTATGTTAATTTAAATTAAGGGCATTTTTTAAAATGAGAATATTATTTTCAAAGTAATTTTTAAGTAAACACCATATGTATTTGGAAGTTTTGTCAAAAAATTTATTGAAATTCAACTGGCCTTAAGTTGATTTCTTGGTCTTTCATTTGTTCTGTTAATTATTTTTTACTGTTATTGTGGTGTATTCTAAGACAGTTTTTTTATATTTTCCTATATCAAATTGATGTTTAGTCAACTGTACTATTTTCTTACATATTTAAATTCTGTTTAGAGAATTTATCAAGTTTTCGAAAATATAAACATACGTATAATAAAGTAATCAGATTTTTATTATAGAAAACTAATAAACATTTTGTCAATCAAGTTTTTCCAGCTTTTTACCCCATCTCCAGATAGGTCATCAAATTTTGCAGTTTTTAATTTTTACTAAAGAGAAATTTTCTCAAAGGTAGACGAAACTTAAATTACGCTAATTTCATTCCCCACCTTTAATTATTTCATTATCATTTTTCTTTATAAATTTTATTTAATATGTATTATCTTTTTTTTTTTTTTTTTTTTTTTTTTTTTTGAGGTTCTTGTACAAAAACCTCCCACTATTTCATAAACAAAGTTGGATCTAATTAGTATATTTATAATGAACACTATTATAAATTTAGGTGAATTAACCAAAATGTGTAAATCATGCAAGTGAAGCTTATGCTGAACTATAATTTTCTGTACTATTGCTTTACTGTAGTATTCCTTTACAGAAATACTACAGTAAAGTGAGGTAGGTGAAATATCATCTATCTATCTACTATCTACAGTATCTACAGTACAGTAGGTGAAATATCATCTATCTCAATTAGGGATTGTGCATCGGCGACAATTTTATCAGAATCTTTAGTATATTCAATACAAGTGGTAGACTGAGAGATAAAATCCAAATATCAGGATTGGCGAGGACTGCGTTTGTCAGGATGTTGCTGGAATGCAAATTTAAGGGGTTTTTGATCAGTATAAGTGACAACACGGAGTTCACCGTTATAAGTGGAAAATTTCCTTTGAGATTTACTTAGTTTAGCTGAATAGAAGGCTGTAGGTTCCCATTGTTGTTTAACAAGTTGCATGAGTAAGCCGGCGATTGCAACATGTTATCCTGACATCAGATGCATCGACCCATAGACTTAGTTAATTTGTGCGCCGGGCATCGGATGCTTGAGTAATAGCTTCTGTAGACGCTTTGAAGGAGAGTGTTGCTTCATCGTCCCACTGTAATCACTGTGTCACTAAAATCTGTACTCTGTACGACTGTGTGTAATCGTCCCACTGTGTCAGCTAAAAAATAAATGCTGGAGAGATTATTGTACCAAAAACACAGAAAGATATGGAAATATTTACAAGATCTGTATGAACAAAGTTTTTAAACCAAACCAAATCTCCATCACTTCAAACCTCAATCAATCTCAACATCAAAAGATCAAGATACAAATTTAATAACTCTTTCTAATATCATGGAACAGGTTTTTCTACAAGACCTCCTCCTCAAGAAGATACTGCTGAACAATCGTACATCGGAAATTCTAATAATACAACTCCAGATACAATGGATGACTTTCTCATTTACATTAAAGTAATATCTAATATAATAAAACATTTAGCAAGAAATAAGGCACCAGGACCAGATGGAATACCTAACCAAATAGTCCAACTTATTCATTCTATTGATCGAACTATTTTCTTAGATCTCAGTAATAAATGCCTACAATTAAGCACATTTCCTACTCATTTCAAAACTGGTCAAGTCATTTTGTTTAGCAAACCAAGCGCAGATGCAAATACTCCAAAATCATACAGACCAACATTCTGCTTTTATTTGCTTGGATCTAACCAAAGCTTTTGACTCATTATGGTGGCCATCTGTACTTGAAGCATTAAGAAAAGCAAATTGTCCAAAAATATATTTAACTTCAAGATTATCTATGTGAAAGAAAACGTTTTATAATGTACAACAATAAGATCATAGAATATGCTCAACAAAAAGGTTGTCCACAAGGTTTCTGCCTTAGTGCTAACCTTTGGAACCTTACGTTTAACTCAATAACATCTTTCAAATGGCCAATCATACACAAGTGTTGCTTTTGCTGACGACGCAGCTTTTGTGATCAGTGTAGAACAATAAATATTCTGGAAAATAATGTAAATGAACTCTTCATCTTTTTAAAACTGAATGCAACAATTGAAACTGACAATAAGTGAAGAAAAATCAAAAGCTATAATTTTCCATAAAAAATCTCAAAAAGTCACTCGACTACCAGAATTTTTGAATAGAAAATAATAGAATAAAAATAATTCCAAAACTTAAATTTCTAGGCATAATCATTGACAAAAACCTCAACTGGATTGAACATTTCAAATATATTAGAACTAAAACACAAAAAATAGCAAACTTACGTTATGTCCAAGGACTAAATTGGGGACTAAATCCTCATATTCAAAAAATATTGTTCAATACAGTAATAACAAAAATAGTATTATATGGTGCAGAAATTTGGGCGCACCCTATGCAAAGAAATATGTATTGTTAAGAAGGAAAGCTTCGCAGCAGTAGGAGTGGCTTCCTCCGAACGAAAATTGACACAACTGCGCATGCGTGAAATATCTGTCGCCAAAAAGCGCCGAAGCTGATGTTGAAGTTCGAACAGGTTCGACGGTCACGTTTATCAAGAGTTTAAAGCTGTGTGACTCCATTTTTTTCCCCTACATATTGCCAGATATAAAATCAGACATCAAACTGCGATGAGGACAATACAAGTTCAACTAGTAAAGCAAAAAAAGCACGAAAATTCGAGTTTAAATTATCGCGAAAAGTCGAAGAACGATTCATCTTAACCCGTGTTCCTCAATTTCCTATACACGTGGTGGAGGTGGAAAATCTTGGCCAGGTACATCACAATGGGGGAAATTCTCGCCAACAGGTTCCGTCTCCGAATCCCTTGGAATGGAGCCTTTTCTTCTTTACATAGACTTTCTTTAGCCTATGACTGTTCGGAAACAAAAACAACTGCAAGCCATACAACGTCAATTCCTTCTCCGGATCACAAAACGTTATAAAACAACATCAAATGCTGCCCTGTGTGTACTTTCAGGATTATCACCTCTTCATACTTTAGCACAAACTGAACATGCAAAAGCCACAGTTCTCAAATTAAAAAAATCCTGCATATTTCATGATGAAATATTTAATCCAAACAATTTTGAAATTTCAGTCAACCCCTACAGAAGACATCTTGCCTCTAATCCTAAAATATATAGCACAATAAAACCTCCAACCAGTCATATATCTCCACCAATAATATATACAGATAGATCGAAAATGGACTTAGGAGTTGGCTGTGCATGTATACTACAAATAGATCAAACCCAGAAAATAACTCTCCAAAATAGACTCGCCAAGGAAAATAGTATCTTCCAAGCAGAATTACACGCAATTCGAATGGCAATAGAATACCCAATCGACAATTTAAAAAAAATCAATATTTTCTCTGATAGTCAATCAGCAATACTAGCTTTACAAAAATACCAAACACACATCTGAAATAATTCAAGATATTTTTAACAAAATTATCCAATATCCTCAAATATCACCAAGCATTTATTGGATAAAGGCTCACGTCGGAGTTCTTGGTAACGAAGAAGCCGATTCAGCAGCCAAATCAGCTACTACCAACAATAATATCCCTTCAAGAAAAATCTCCTGGCCGAAATCATACCTTAAGAAATATCTACATAAAATCAGCGTCCAAATGAGGGAAAAAGAATGGATAACAATAAATATCGCAAGACAATTACATCAAATAGCACCTCATCTAAGTGATTATATGTACAATGGTCAGTGGTTATATAAACCGCTTTTTAACTGAACATGGGCCATTTCCCACATACTTCTTCAGATTCAACATCTCAAACTCTGAGCAATGTGTATGTGGAAATAAAGGTGATCCTATCCATTATATTACTCAATGTACCTTAACAAAGTCAAGTCATATTAAATTGCCTAATTCAGATATCAATGCCTTCCTTCGTTTTGCAATTACCAACAAATATTAAAAAATAAAATAGAAAATACAATCAAATATCTATCTTCAATAGGCAAAAATTTATGTGAGCACTAAAGTAATTAATGTCAAAACTAATTTTTGAAGCTGCAATTCATTAAAACATTTATTAT